ACAATTTAATTTCTCTCAGTCTCCATTCCATAGAACATGCCATGCCTACTAGTTTATTTTGTTTTAATCCTTATCAAATTGCTTTTTTAAAATATTGTTGCTGCTGCTTTTAGAATTAATACTTATATGTATTTTTCTGAGATTTGTACCCATTTCTCTTCTTACCATGGCTTCTTGTGTCAGCTGCTTCATCTAAGTTTGTTTCTTGCTCAAGTTGCTTTGTTTCTTGCTAAATTCCTTCTTGCTCAAGTATATGCTTTATAGTTCTTACAGTGAGGGTGTGTGGGTACTAAACTTTCGGTCATTGTCTGTATAAATATGTCTTTGTTTTACGCTCACTGCCAAATGATTGTTAGCTTGGTAGAGAATTGTAGGTTGACAGTTATTTTTCCTTCAGCCTTTGAAGGTATTGTGTCATTGTCTTATGGTATCTATGATTGCTGTTTGATTGTCATTCTTTTGAAGATAAATTTCTCTCCATCGCTGTTATGGTTTTCTGTTTTTTGCAATGTTCTGTGGTTTTACTATTATATCTTTGAAATGTGTTTTTATTTATACTGCTAAGGACTCAGTGTGTATGATGTCTTTCTGAAATTCTGGAAAATTTTCAGCCATTAGTTCTCTGAATATTGCTTCTTCTCCATTCTCTCTGTGTGCTGCTTCAGGAATTCTATTTGGCATATGCTGTATGTTCCCAGCCCCCCTCCCTGTGTTTTAGTTTCTCTTTCAATTTTCCGTCTCTTCATCTCTGTATGCTTCATTATGGGTTAGTTCCTCAGCTGTATATTCATTCAGTTATTGTGGCACTTTCCTCTTCTTTCTTTTGTTTTTTTTTTTTTTTGTATATGTTTATGATGGAAGGATGTCTCTTTCTTGTAAACTCAATCTATCATCTTATAGGAGGTTGAAGGCTTATGTCAACAGATTCAAAGAACATGACATGTCTCATAAAAAAATTAATACAGACTAATCAACCCTGATCAATATCCTCAGTAAATGACAAAAAAGAAAGAGTCCTGTGGGCATCCAAGCAAAAAGGTCAAATCATTATAATGAGGAAAAAATTAACTGGCTCCAGACTTCTTCACAGGATCGCTGAATTCTACAGTAATTTTCAGAAGTCACCAGGGAAAGAAAATGTCATGCAATAATTATATACATATGCAAATTGTTGCTTAGCATAAAGGCAACAAACAGATACTTTCAAACATGGAAGAAGTCAAGAAATAAACTTCCCATGAGCCCCTTCTTGAAAAAATCTGCTATACAGGGAATTTCATCTATCAAACAGCTGAATGAAGAAACGATGGTGAAGGAATGATATGACCGCTGAATCAATATAAATGTAGAACAAAGGCTAAACAATTGTGGTAATTGTGGGTACTGGATGTAAACTTTAGCAACTCAACTAAAATTGGTGGAAGGAAGCAAGGAGAAGATGAGCAGTAATTATGTAAATATATTCATTGTTGCATCTGTTATAGTGGGTAGAAATGGAATTTGTTTAAAGCTGGTTAATCAAGTTATAAAGTTCCAGCTGTTTGAAAATAAAGAGGTAATCACTAAAATAATTAATAATTTAGCCAAACAAAATCAGGTGGTAGAGAGGAAAGCGGAAAGATATAATCCCATTTATATAAAGACAAAAAAACAGGCAAAATTAATCTCTGGTGATAAATGTCAGAAAAAGGTTGCTTTCAGTGGGAGTACTTCTGGCAGGGTGCTAACTGAAAGAGGGCAAGAGAATACCTTCTGGGATTCTGGTGATCACACATGGAAAGAGTCATCAATCTCTACATATAGTATGTGTCTACCTTACTACATGAGTATGTTGTAACTCAATAATTTTTTTAAATTCAAATAAGTTATGTATAAAAAAATTATTCAGCCAAAACTAAAGATATAAAAAGAAAAATAGAAGAAGAGTAGAAGAAAAACATTTTAATTTTCTCTTCTAAGCCTAAGTTAGTCATGTAGATATGAATAAGGCTATAAAGGAACAAAATGATACAGTTCATATAGGTTTAACTAAAATATATATGAAATTCCATTCTTTGTAAAAAAACGGCTTTTGCTTCAAGTGTTTATGCAATGTTTCTAAAATTGATCATATTTTAGACTACAAAGATTATCTTTGATGTCACCTTCAGCCTTGATCTCTGAGTGACCACGTGGAGCAAAGACCCACCACACATCCATCTGAACCTACCAGCCCACATTGACATGGAGTCTGAGCAAGGAATGAACCTTTGTTTTATCAAGCAACTGATATTTCAGGAATAATTTATGTTACAACATAACACAGACTATTACAACTAATAAATTAGGCTAACAAAACAATAGAACAGAATAGAAATGCAGAATTAGACTCAGATGAATGTGGAAATTCAATATATACAGAAGTGGAATTTTCAAATCTTGGGAAATGGGCATGATTAGTCATTAAATGGAGAAGGAACAGTGCTAACATCTCAAAGATCTACTTAATTCTTTACAGTAAATTTCCAGAGAGTTCAAAGTTTTAAATATAAAAAGTAAAATTGTAAAAATACTAGAAGAAAACAAGGTGAATCTTTTGACTGTCTCAGAATGGGGAAACTCTTTCTAATCAAAGACATTGAAAGAAATGATTGAAAAGTGTTATGAAACAAAATTTAAATTTTCTTATTGGAACTGTCCCATAAGCAAAGTTAAAAATCAATGACAACCTGGAAACAAATATTTGAAATGCATAAAAGAGACAAAGGATTAATTTCCTTAATATATAAAAAAGCACTTACATGTCAATAAGAGACATAGGAAAGGAAGTTCTCAGGGAAAAAAATTCATTTTAAATAAATAGAAAATTGTTAAACTTTTACTCACAATTTTTAAAATGCAAATTAAAATGGCACTGAGATATCATCTTCCACTTATTGGTTTGGCAAAGAATAAACTATTGGCAAGGCACTATTAGTGGCAGTGGAAACTAATGCAAACTTCTAAGGGAGCAATTTTTCACATTTATTAATATTTTAAATGCATATAGTTTTGGTACAGCAATTAGTATTTTTCAAAATTGTTCTGCAATTTCACTTGCACGTATGTGCAAAGATATAAATACAAGGATACAGGTTTGAAGCAATGTTATAGGAAGACTGGAAACCATTTAACTGCTAACATAAAGGGACTGGATAAATAAGTTACATCAGTGCAATGGAAAATTATGCTTGTACAGGCTTAAGGTAGATTTCATGTGAGTTGATACAGCCTGACACCTAAGCTCCAGAAAATTGCATAAATGGTGTTCTCATTTATATCTTTAGGATTCCAGTAGGCAACACACAAACTGGATAATCTGAGGAATTTTCAAAGGAGACTATTTATAAGTTCTGAGCGGGGTATGGAGAAACCTCCAGAGATAATACAAGGCACTGTAACCACAAAAAGGCCTGAAGAGGTGAAGGAAAGGCACAGTTAAATGATCTACATCCTCACCTTAGTGGTTACAGGGGTTTGAACATTTGTGAAAAGTCATTGTATCATAAAGTTAAGATTGTGCACTTCACTGTCCAAAGTTGTAGTTCAATAAGAGAAATTGAGTTACTGTGGGAGTGAAAAAAAAAAAAAAGAAAGGCACAGTTATCAGAACTGGAGGTAGAGAGTAAGTAATTGGAGAGAGCCACCAATGGGACCTTAGGAAGACAGGCCAAGGTCCCACCTCTCTTCTCTCCCCCTTAGATCTTCCAACCTGAAGCCAGAGGTGAGAGAGTCTGAGGATGAATCCATAATAGAGCTATGAACAGGAAAAGAAAGATAGTGGATCTGGAGGGGAAAATGCACTCTGTTTTTTGGAAAGTGGGAATATACACATACTTATGTACCCAAGAATCTGGAATGAAGGGCCTTTAAGAAAGAGAACTGTGAGAATTGGGGCGTTTGCAACATGAGGTAGAAGGAAATCACACTGTCTCTGCCTTCTCTATTTTACTATTGAAATTTGTAACCTGATGCCTATATTATTCTTTTGATTTAAAAACTAGCCAGTGGCAGAATTTGTTTTAAGGAGAAAAACTCTTGTTTAGCAAAGCATCTTAGTAGGTCATCCTGGCTGAGGAAAGGGAGATCTGAGAAGCAAAGGAGAGAGAAAAAGCAGAAAGAAAAGAAAAGAAAAGAAAAAAAAAACACCCAAAACTCTGTTAAGAATAATTTGGAGAGAGTGAGGGAACCCAAGAATGGGCAGAAAGTGGGGAGAAGTTAAGAATTTGAGGAGAGATACAAGGCCCCCAGAAAATGCTGGATAGCTGAGACCTAAGGAGAAAAAAGGGCAAGAATGACTCAGAATCCTAATAATAGCCTCTGTAATACTCAGTTTTGTGTTACCCCAACCCTTCAGAAAAACCAGCCACATTCAGTGCCTTGTGTTTATGGCATGTGGTTAGGGTGGGAGGGAGTGATTAAAAGAAGAGGGACTCTGTTTCCTGTTTGGGCTGTTTTAGGACTGACAATAAAGTAGAGTTACAGTTGGACAGATACAAACAACACATTGCATCCCAAACCAGAAATTGGGACAGAATCTAACTTGGGAAAACATAAGCCCCTAGAAGGTCTTCAGGGATGTAGGAGGGAGGCTGACTTTCACCATATGTGAGTTCGGAGATGAAGCCAGTATTAAGAAAAGAATGAGCCTAAACAGCTGGAGCTCTGAGGATGCCTGGGGAGCTGTGTGGTACGTATAGAATCAGAGGAGAGCCAAATAAATGGATTCAAGGACAGCTCTGACTCAGGTATTCCACAAATGTGTAAGAATTCATATGGAGAAATGTGTAAAGCTCTGAGCTCTCCTACGTTCCATTGGCCGTTTTGCATATCAGCAGGGTGAAGAGGTTTGAGTATTTTCTGGGAGTTGATAGCCAGTGCTTTATGATTTAGAAGAGACTAACTCTGAGACTTTTTCTCTCATACTAAATCATGTTTCCAGGCCCAGGATTTTAATCCTTCTTTGTTATCTCTATTTCTAGCAAAAACAACATCAGTGACAACAAAAACTGAATATGGAAAAGTGGACCTGTAAGTTTTGCAGTAAATGATAAGTCAGAATTTCAAGTACAAATAATAATTAATAATAGTGTTACAGGTAATTACTAATCTGAAGAACCTAGATAGGAATAATAGGATGGGTTAAGCAAAACCAAGATCTTTTATAAAAGAGTATGAAAGATCTTTTTTTGTACCAAAAAAGGCTTGTATCTATCCCCAGTACAGTTTTTGTTATGCCTTATCCTAAATATATAAAAGTCTGATAAATAGGTATTGAGATTTGTTTTTCTAAGAGTGATGGCAGGTTGCATCTTTAGAGGACACAATGTGTAGATTTTTGCTCTCTCCTTCAGACAGGAACCAGCCTAACGAGACAGGATTGTCTGTAAGTCCCCTGGCCTAGGAAAATAAGGCCCCTAACCAATTGGCGAGCTAGGAGAATCAGATAGAGACCAGCAAGATCCACATTTCGCAGCTTCAGGACTTTCCCTGGCTTATGCATATGCCCTAGCTCCCAGGAGTTGTCTGAAGGTGACTCTAGCCCCATTACCGTAGTAAACATCACACTCAGGGCTGGAAAGCTAGCATGCTAATGATACATGCAATGCATTTGGTGGCGTGTCAAACAGTAGCGCAAATGCAAGAAAAACCCTACCTCTGCATGCCATGATAAGGTGCTCCTCCCCAGCCTTTGCCTAATAAAAAGCCCCACAGTCCCGCTCCTTAACGAGCCAGTCACCTGCCCCTTTCCTTTCCACACCAGCTTCCTTGTGCCTCTCCTGTGCACAAGCTAATAAACTTTTACTTTTCTACTCCCATTTGTTTTCTCTCTTGATTTCCATCCCAGGGGACAACAAGAACCCAATACACCGGTAACATCCTGACCAATAATACATATTTGTGAATTAACCAATTGGTCTAGGGATGCAGCCAATGGCCATTGAAGAGTTATTTTCATAGCAAAATTAAGCAACCCTAACGACCTCACTTGTACAATACATACAATAATCGACTGAGCCGAGTGGTCCAGCATATGGGGGAAGTGAAAAGAGTCACAGGATTAGTAATTAATTTACAATTTGAGAGCGATATATAGAGGAATGTACATAGGCATACAAAGCTAAATCTTTACCGCTATAACTCTATATTGATACTTTGTTTACTTACCAAAAGAATTTGGCATAGCCTATAATTTAAAAATCACAGATACAGTACAGTGCCAAAATCAGTCAAACAAGATAAATAAGACAAAAGCCAGTTATAATAAATATGAAACTATATAAATGTAGCCGTTCACAGTTTATAGATGGAAATATAGAGTAGAGCTGACCTGCTCAAACTCAATGCCTTATACAATATCTGTGATTTAGCATATTTGAATCTGATTTACTTTCTTAACTCTACCGAATCAATGAGCATAATCAAAGTACGTACACAATAGGATTTGTTAAACGGTGTTATCTAAAACTTGGCTGTAAGACAGAGTGCAGTGTGTGCTTTAGTGTCACACCGGGGCATCGTTTAACCAGCGCACTCATGGATTATTTCATTATCTAGGGTAACATTCCTTTGTTTGACTTTTGTACAGACCTTTTTGTATGATTTGTACATGAATTAAGATCTTAGACTTTGTGGAATTAGGTATTAACATGAAGGTAGATACAGTGGAACTGCCAATAATTTTTGTCGGGTAGAAAAGACAGCCCCCAAGGTTACATTTTTTTACTGCCCTGTAGAGCAGTCTTATTCTAACATTCTTCTTAAATCCCTATAACTACCCAGTTCTTTTTTTTAAAGATTTTATTTTTCCTTTTTCTCCCAAAGCCCCCCGGTACATAGTTGTGTATTTTTAGTTGCGGGTCCTTCTAGTTGTGGCATGTGGGACACCACCTCAATGTGGCCTGACGAGCGGTGCCATGTCTACACCCAGGATCCGAACCAGCAAAATCCCAGGCCACTGAAGTGGAGCATGTGAACCTAACCACTTGGCCACAGAGCTGGCCCCTACCCAGTTCTTCAAAATACTCTTTGAACAGCTTTATTATCTTGCTAATTCGATAATTAATGAGTTAATAAGTCTTTAGCTAACTCTTTGCATTTAGTTAATACATTTTTAGTTAATAAATCTTTAGCATGTGTTCATTCTGCATTGGAATGAGAATCAGTTTTTTAGCTTCTTGAAAATTATATTAGGTAGTTATGATGGTTAAATGAGACAACATGCCTAGAACATAGTAAACACTCAAGAAATATTAGATTTTATTAAGTTTCATGCCCTGATTCCTCCAACCTTATAAGAAAACAATGTAACACTATTCACAGAGGAAGCAAATACACATATGTGTGTGTATAAATGTGTTAGAGATGTATATATACACATATGTACATATATTGTAATATATGTATAATGTTGATGTATATATCTTATACATAAAATATTTGCTTTCAAGAACTTTATATAATTTGTAAAGAATCTCTGTGTATTTCTTTTTTATTTAATTTTTTTGAGGAAGATTAGCCCTGAGATAACTACTGCCAATCTTCCTGTTTTTGCTGAGGAAGACTGGCCCTGAGATAACTTCTGCCAATCTTCCTGTTTTTGCTGAGGAAGACTGGCCCTGAGCTAACATGCATGCCCATCTTCCTCTGCTTTATACGTGGGATGCCTACCACAGCATGGCTTGCCAAGCGGTACCATGTCCGCACCCTGGATCCCAACCAGTGAACCCCAGGCTGCCAAGAAGCAGAACGTGCAAACTTAACCGCTGTGCCACCAGGCCGGCCCCTCTCTGTGTATTTCTATATTCCCATGACTGACTTTAACGTCTTCTAGAAAATGTTAATATGAATAACCAATGACAATATACTCAAGCCTGTTTTTGGGTTAGTATCCCTGAGCTGAAAGTGCTTAGCCAGACTAAATGAGAGACAAGAGCAGCGTCATAAAGATGCCTCTGAGAATGGCACAGATTCTACGAGAGAAGCTTCCTGAGTGCTCCATGAGAACTCTCAAACCTTAACCGTGTTGACATAGCTCCATTGTAAGAGTTGCTTATCTATAAACATCCATCTGAAATGGACATTTATTCATGTGGTCCTGGTATGTATAGGGGAGATAAATAAAAGGCAGAAGAAAACAGCACAAAAAACACATAAATAAGCACTACCAGTCTGTATTTTTTCTTTCTTCATAGGACTGGCTGCACAGCAAAGTGTCTGTGAAACTTTACCTTGCAAATAAAAATATGAAAGTCAATTTTTTCTGAACTTTTCACTCAGGGACCCAAAATGGTTAACTATACCCCTATCTGTGAAAACTATGTATTAAATTGATTTATTTTTAAATTTCTTTTTTTTAACATTTAATGCAACTTAGGAAAACCATCCATTTCTCCCTCTTCAATAAAATATTCATTCATGTTCCAAGATACTATAGTGTTAGGACATAGTAAAATATTTCACTAATGCCTGTAACCCAAACAATGTATCTGGCTTGAAAGATGATCATTTTATTTCTTTCTCACTCATAAAGGTTGATCAGCTGTCCTCGTTAAGAGTTATAGCTTTTACCACAATGAAAAAGGTGGGCAGAGAATTTTGTCATCGTCCCTGTTCTAGAGGAAGAGGTGAATTTATATGGTAAGTTAAAGATGCGCTGCCTGTAATTTAGAATGTTCAAAAAGAATAAGCTCAGGAAAGAGCTGAATAAAACATTTTTCACAGTGGTAAATTATTTAAATAGTATTAATTAATATAATCTTCCCCAGAAGCTTCCCTGACCTTGTCATTTAGGGACAGGAGCTCCTAGGCAGTTTCTTATTGTAATATTTCCCCCCAATTATGCATGGTTTATAATAGGCTCATTATAAAAATTTGAAAACAGAAATATACTGAGCAGAAAGTGGAAGTCTCTAATACCACTGTAGAACACTGGCTCTGTATTCTTTAGATATTACACTTATATATACATACATATTACATAATACACTGTATAGTACATATGCTATATATTACATTATATATATGATATATATTAGAAGGTAAATGAGATCATCTTAAATCTGATTATTCTTTAACTCAACCTTTTCACTCAACATATTATAGACATTTATCAATATCAATGTATATGGGTCCTTTTGATAGCTGCATAGTATTCTTTTGCATGAATTTATCATGAAGTAATTTAATGCATTAATTAGCAAGTTTCAGTTTACAGCCAGATCAAATCACCTGCGAAGTTTAGCGGTCATCCTGCTGCCGATGTCCAGCTTATTCATTTTTAGATGCAGAAGGTCTAGTGTGGGACTCAAACATCCCTGTTTTTAAGAGTATTCAGAGAAGAATCTGATACAGACTAAATTTTGAGAACCAATTAGTTAACAGCCTTCTTGTAAATAAACATTTAGTTTCTATTTTTCGTACACAACATTGTAAGAAAATTGACACCTGAAAACAGACGAAATAAAAAGTTAGGAAGACTCTTATTTTTCTGTCTCTCCCTTTATTCCTTTCCATCTTTCCTCCTTGTTTCCCCCAGCCTCTGACCTTACCACTTATTCCATGGAAGGACGAATAGTGAAAGATTAGATCGATTTTTGGAGAAAATAGAGAGCTAAAGGAAACTATGACAGGAAAGGCGTTCAACAAAAGATACTGGGAGAAGGAAAGACAAAATAATGTTTTCAAGAAAGCAAAGAATTCATTTATTCAACTAAGATATTTAATTAGAAAGCTGCAAAATGGTGATGGCAATGTGGAAGAAAGGCCAGCCTCAGGTTTTGAAATAAACGACTGATAAAGGATGGGACCAGATTTGCCATTCTGGGTGCATCATTATGAAATAGGAATTCCTGTTTTAAATACTTTTTCATTACGGCTTCTCCCTATGTATTTAATTTTCACAACTGTTGCAAATTTAATTTTAAGCGGTGAAGGTGAATGGGACAAGCACTGGATTCTGGTTTTCTCTCTTTCACTCTCTAGCTGTGTGATCTTTGACGAGTCAATCTCTTTTGTATCATTTTCCTTGTCTGTAAAATGTGTGAGCTGGATTACTCCATAGCACCTTTCACCTCTAATATTCTTTCATTCAATGAGAGAGAAATTTATTTCGTTTTGTAATTAACCTCATTTCAAAATAAAAGCCTTTTCTTTCTTCGAACTTAAAAACCCGTGGGCTTTGGGGTATGTGGCAGTGAACACCTACAGCCCATTAATATACATCTCACTGCGACCTTTCTCATCCACCATGCGTCAGATACTGTATGTTATTCTGAAACACAGAGGGCTAAGGAGAATTCATAGATTATAGGAAGGTTTTCACACTTTCCTGGAAATCAGCCCACAAAGACTAATAAGCAGGAAGTGATGTCTCCAGGATATCAACAATCTAAAACAAGTTCTAAGCAAACAGAAAAATGTAGGCTCAAATACAAAGACTACCCAACAACTCAGGGACTTTCCATCTTTCAGAAGTAAGAAATGTGTAAATGGTAACTGTGCTTTTCTGATTAAAACAATTGCCTACTCAGGATAAAACCAAACCACACAAGTATAAATTGAGGAAAGACTGCCTAAGCTGAAATAAACACCAAGTCAGTCACAAATATTTGAATAACAGTGAACCGTTAGTTGGTGTAAACAAGCAGTGCATGATCACACAGTATCAGATGGGAGGGCCCTGCCTGCTCACCGGCCCAATGTCTTACCACGACTGCCCTTGTAGGGGGTTGAATGGCGGGCTCCAAAAGATATGTCTACCTGGAACCTGGTAATGTGACCTTATTTGCAAAAAAGGTCTTTGGAAATGTAATCTGCGTAGCTCTAAGTCCAATGACAAGTGTGCTTACAGCAGAGGAGAAGGCAGTGTGGGCACAGAGGCAGAGATGAAGTGGTGTCTCTCAGCCAAGGAATGCCAAGGATTGCCAGCAGCCACCAGGAATGGAATGGATCCACGGAATGGACACTCCCTCAGAGCCACCAGGGGGAACCACACCAACTGACACCTTGATTTCAGACTTTTGGATTTTCATCCTCCAGAACTGTGAGAGAATAAGTTTTTGTTATTTTAAACCATCCAGTTTGTGGTACTGTGTCACAGCAGCCCAGGGAAACAATAGACTCCTTTCAAAATATAGTTTCCAAAAATACTGGTCTGCTCAGAGTTCCCTGAACACAGTGCCCACGTGCACACAGAATATAATCCCCGAATACTATGGGGATTAGTTGATCTTGGCCGAAACCCCACTTCCATGACCTATAACAGTCAAAAACTGTCCCCCATGCAGCCTGTGAATTCCCATGCATATTTCCTCATGACTTGGGTTGCACTTCGAGTTGCACAGGCTATACACTCGAGAAAATCAGCCAGCCAGGGAGGTGAGGCCCTCTGCCCTTGAAGCTGTGCCCTCTGCCGCTGGAGGATTGAGAGGAGATCCCCAATTGCCTTGGGGATGCAATACCTCTTTTTTGCACAGAGCAATCACTCAGTCTCAAAGAGGGTTTTTTTTGGTTTGGTTTGTTTTGTTTTGTTTTTGTGAGGGAGATTGGCCCTGAGCTAACATCTGTTGTCAATCTTCCTCTTTTTGCTAAAGGAAGATTGTCACTGAGCTAACATCTGTGCCAATGCTCCTGTATTTTATGTGGGATACCACCACAGCATGGCTTGACGAGTGGTGCTAGGTCTGCTCCTGGGATCCGAACCTGCAAACCCTGGGCCACTGAAACAGAGCACACGAACTTCACCACTATGCCACCAGGCTGGCCCCAAGAGGTATCTTTTTAAAATTTATACAAAAATAATGTAATAACCACAGTGATCTTGGTGGTTCTTTGTGTCTTCTTGCATTTGGTCCCATGGTCTCAGCCCTTCCCCAAGACTGGTATCCACAAATAATTTCCAAACATCAAGCATGTGCTAAGCCTAGTAAGATTACTAAAGTTCAGGGGTAGCGCAGAGGAAAGATTACATATACCACACAATTTCACCATCAGTTCAGTTTTCCCTCATGTTCCCCTCTCCTTACCAAAATTCCAAAATCCTTATACACAACTATGCTACTGATGTAAGCCATCCCACCAACCCCCTCTGTAGACTGTATTCTGGAGAATAAAATTTTCTCCATCTTTTGTCACTATTTTAAGTCTCTGGCCCCTGTGCTTGGAATCACTTTCTCCCCTTGTCCACTTGGTAAACTTTTATTCGTCTGTTCGTCTTTCAAATCCTACTTCTAAATCAAAGAAACGGGATTTTTAAAAACTAAAGACTATATAATGCCCCTCCAAATTCACCAGTCATCATCAATCTCTCACATATTATCCTCTGTTCTCTTCTGCCTCTCCCCAACTTGATGATAACTCTTTGAGAGCAGAGCCCTGACTGACTGTTCCCACCACCCTGCATTTAGCTCATGCTCAAATGTTTGTCTCCTAAGCATTTTTCTCATGACCAAATATCCTAAGAGGATTATAGTCACTTAAATTTAAACTCCTGCCATTTTCCAAAAATCTGTAACATTAAAAGCCTGACAGGTTCTGCTGGCCATCACTTCTTCTGATGGTGAAGACATAGGCTATAGTGTAAAGGCTTTTTCTTTTTTAGCGTTGGATTTCTGCCAGAGTTTGTGGTTGCCATTGATTTTGCACCTCTGTGAGTACATCTTCTTTCCTTTCACTTTGCTTACATAGTATCTTTCAGGAAGATCACTTTCACTTCCTCCTTCCTAATTCCCTTTGTTGTGCTCACATTTACATTCACTGCCCTATTTTTAAGGGCTTTTGGTGAGATTATGTTTCATCTGAATTTGATTTCCTTTTCTATTTTTGGTTCCTTTCCAAGTTCAAATTAACAATGCCACTAAGCAGGGGAAAGTGTGTTAATGAGACAGTTTCCTCTTGACAGGCTCAAAATGCTGTTATTTTCTTACAGAGTATATTAGATTATGACCGATGAGTTTAACCTAGAAAAGAGCCTTTTCTTTTATTTCCTCCATGTAGGCTGCAACACTTTATTTTTGATTTAGTAACAAAAAACTGCATTTTTTCCCCATGCACTGCTTATTTCTCGCCAGTATCTTTGAAAATTGACATTCTTATCTAAATATAAAAATTATAGCTCAAATGAAAATGTTACTTTCTAAATTTTGAGTTTATTAGTAAATATGGATCGTTAGTGCTTTATACACCTCATTGTGGTAAAGGCTCACAACAATACAATAATATAGATACCATTATTGGCTTCTGGTTACAGTTGGAGAAACTGATTTTCTCAGAGGCAAAAGACCTGCCCAAAATTGTCCACTTAGAACCTGATGAATTCAGCGTGCAATCCTTCTTCAACAGAGTTCCTGCGCCCTTTTTTAGTCAGTCTGAGAAAGGCATCTTCTAATTAATATTTGTAAAAGGCACCTCAAAGTTAGGAGTTTAATTAATTTATTTTCATAAAGGTAAAACTTAAAGGTTTTTCAAACAGGAATCCCCAAATCAAGTGCCTGTGGCAGCCAGGCAGATCAAATAAATGAGGAAAGCAGATGGGGTATAAAATAAAACAAAAGCAAAATAACCACTGATAAGCTCAAGTTAATTGGTGCCTTGAAGGAATGTTGACTTAAGGTTGCCAGACATCCTGTTATTTTCCAAAG